AATAATAATAATAATAATAATAATAATAATAATAATAATAATAATAATAATAGTAGTAGTAGTAGTAGTAGTAGTAGTAGTAGAGACTATTTAAGGTGGATAATCTCAGAGATCACGGTTCAAAACACTACTTATGACTAAGCTGCAGAACTGTTTGAGCTGAATTTTCAGGTTTTGAACGTTATGACCTGAGAGCCCTTTTGCAAAAATTTCCAAGATTCCAAGTTCCTGTAATTCCTCCGAGGCTGGAGGAGTGAAATCAGGATTCTCACAATGCATTGTTCATGGAACACATTTAGGAAATCATTCAGAGTTTCAGCAGATACATTACCACTCATCTCACATATTTTTATATAAGACTACAACTCCCAGAGTTCCATAGGAAGAGGAGTTGACCAAAATGACATCTATGACATAGGATTATTTGTTTTTGTTGTCTACAGTATCTTCAAGCAGCAATTTCTATGTTTCATTCCAAGTACCTTTTTGCAAATTTGAATGCAAGTTCTCCTGAAGAGATTTTTAACTCAAGCTTGAAGATATTTTTGGGCCTGCAGTTCTTAAAATATAGGTAGTCCTCAACTCCTTGTTTGAAGCTACAATAGCACTGAAAAAAGTGACATGACCATTTTTCACACTTATGACCATTGTCCCCTCCCCATGGTCTCATGATTTATATACAGATGCTTGACAACGAGTTCATATTTATGACAGTTGCAGCATCCTGGAGTCATATAATCACTTTTTGTGACCTTCTGGCAAGCTACGTTAAATGGGAAGCCAGATTCACTTAACAATTGTGTTACTAATTTAACAACTGAAGTGATTCACTTAGTAACTGGGGCAAGAAAAGTTGTAAAATGGTGCAAACCTCAACAAATTTCTCACTTAGCAACATAAATTCTGGGCTCAATTGTGATCGTAAGTCGAGGACTACCCACAATGTAGCCAGTCTTAGCAATAATCAGAAGGTCTTCGGAAACAGAAATTACAGTCCTCTGCACAGAATTTAAGTCCCTATACTCACAGGTGTAATTGTGGTGGCAGTAATGATGGTTCTGTATACTTTTGATGACGAGAGGCAGAATTGCTCCAAGGCACATCAATTATACTTTACAAAGGCTTTTAGACTTGTTGAAGCTACCCACTGATTTGCTAAAACTGCAGCTTCTCAACTACCTTCTGAGAATTTTGATGTGAAGTGTCAGTAAAGAATGTTTTTGCTGGGAAAAAGAAAACTTCTGCACTTAGTTTGTGCTAAATACAACAAGAATACCTATACTTCTCTTTTTTCTCAAAGTTAATTGGCAATCCTCACAATACAACTATCCATGTAGTGTTTAGGCTGTCATGAAAATGCTAGATTCAGCCCAGAATTAATGATACCATCATTTTGGGATTGCCAATTGGTCATGTATAGATAGAAAGAAAGCTATTTTTATAGCAATTTCCTACTATTTTTTCCTACTCTGTTTGCAGCACTATTAATGCCAAAGATTTTTTTTTTAGAAAAGATGATACAGTAATTTAAAGTTATTTTGCCCAGCTCCATATTCCCTAGGGTATAGATTACTAATGGGATGATAGGTGCTGAACTCCAACTTTCCTGAAGGACACAAGTGGAAGCATACAGATTTAGCCTTATTTTTTTAGCAAATAAGTACAAAACCAATCTATCCACAATCCAACAAAGTAACATATTTTTGTCCACATACATGATTTAATGATACAGCTATAAGACCTGAGTTGCAACGTCTGGATTACTTCTGGATGACAGGAAGTAAAGGTTCAAGATTCTAAATCTTTGCTGCTTGTCACCTGGTTGATCTGGTAGCCCTATTAAGGATTTGGGTGGCCTCCTGGTTGTCTTGCTGCACTTGTGGCACTGTGGTTGTCATCCCTTGATTTGAATGCTGCTAGTCCTCATTATACAACGAGGTGTGCATTCCAATCTAAAAGGGTTCCTAAAAGCATTACTTTCTCTCTCTCTCTCTGGACTTCAGGTACGGTTTCTTGAGCAACAGAACAAAGTGCTAGAAACAAAATGGAATCTTCTGCAACAACAGGGCAGTTCAGCTCCAAAGTTCAACATAGATTTATTATTCGAAACTTACATTTGTAACCTCAAAAAGAACGTGGATCAGTTAACGAGCGATCGGGCAAAGCTTGATGGAGAGCTAAGAAATGTACAGGATCTTGTGGAAGACTACAGAAGGAAGTAAGTAGGATTCCAAGGCCCACTTAAACAAAGTGGGATGAGATTAGTCTGCAAATGGGCATGGGGGGCATAAACGAGTTAAGGCCTTCCCTTATGAAAAAATATGCACAAAATGAAAAACTAAAACAGGCAGAAAATAAGAATGTTCGATGCTCTGTTTGCTTGCTGTCTGCAAGAAGGTTTTAGCAGAGCCGTGACTCTCCAACATTTTGGTCTCAGAGCTCCTTTATATTCTTAAAAATGATTGAGGACCCCAAAGAGTTTTGGTTTATGTGGACCATATCTATTGATATGTACTGGGAATGAAAACTGAGAAATGTTAAAATATTTAAAATTTGACTTTGTAGACTCCCCCTCCCCCAAAAGGTTCTGCCCAGACCCCCGAGAACTACTTTGTGAAATACTCTTGTGGGTCAGGAGGAAGTACCCCGAGGAAGCTCCGAAGAAGCTGCAGCAGCCCATCCTACCTGTCTTCCTTGGAACTATGCCCAAATGATAGCTGTGTGCCTGTGCATTTTGGCATGAACTCGAGCTTTAGGGTGGAGACATTTTTGATTTATCAAAGAAATGAGGACATTAAAGCAAGTAGTTACAATTCATTAAAATGAACTGAACACTTCTGAAGTTTATGAAAATTTCTGGTAGCAATTAAATCAAGTGTGCTGAGGAGACAGTTACAATAAAATGAAATGGAACTGACATGTTTTAATTTTTTTTTTTAAATGGATGGAATAGTAATCAAATATGATAATATCAATAGAATAACCAGTGAGAATAAGAACATTTATAACAAAAAAAAAACAAAACAATTTTGTGGAGCACCATCAAACTTTCTAATGCCTACTCAGACTTGTGATGTATTTGACAAGGCTACTTGCCTCCTCGTTTGAATTTACTTTGGAAGATTGTTATTTAAATTATTAGCTTTCAGATGTTGTTTCAGATTAAATTAAGAATATTGATACTATCTGAAAACTGGTGAAACCACACACACACACACACACACACACACACACACACACACACAGTACATGATACAATAGAAGTGATGTATTCATGCTATATGTGCTTATTCTATGTCCATATATTATAGAGCTGTTCTTAAAAAAATTAAAAATGACTGCTTTTTTTTACAATTACAATTTAAAATGTAAAAACTTCAGACTAACAAGCTAACATGAAGATAAAGAAAAAGACAAGAATAAATAGGAAAATGAAAAAAAAAGAATTACTCCACTATTTTTATGCAAATATAATTTTCATAACTATACAATAGCATTATAGATATTATTTTTCTGCCAACCTGGAGAAAAATGTAAATTGACTGGCGAGGTTATAGCAGACTTTTGAATTGGGAGTGCTACATAGTCATAATGTATTACATATGTAATATGAAGCAAGAATAAACCTTTCCTTTATGGTATCCCAAAAGTGTGAAATCTCAACTATCGTGCAAAGTCTTGGAGACCACTCAGAGATTGCAGTGCCATGAATTAATGTTGATGGATGCTGACCGAATTACGTTGTGTTAATTTCTGCACTATAATTGTTTCAGTACAGTTTTTAGGTTTTTTAAATGAACGTTCTTAGTCAAATCGCTTAGAATCAACTATGATTAAAGTGGTATAAATAATAAGAAATAAATAGCTGCTTATTTAAGCATTGCCATCCAACACTTGTAATGACCTGCTGTTGGCAGTAATGATGAAAGATAACAATCCTTCACATGCAGAAATGCTGGCCAAGTTCCAGCAGCCAACTTAATGGAGTGGTAACTTAAGTCAGACACTGTTTTAAAGGAGATAAACTATTGAAACTCAGGTTCCTCAAGCATGAGACGTAAAATAAATGCTGGTGAGTTTAATGAAATGTCATCTCTGTATGACAATCAGGAGTGATATTTATAATTCGTTCTTGATATTCCTTGCAGATAGTTTGACTCAATATTATAAAATAAGTAAGACTCTTCTTTTTTCTTTTGACATGGCTGCTGTGCCACAAGTTAATTTAAAACAATTATAGACAATTTGTTTCCCTGAAAGAAGAGCTTTTGTGACAGCCTTGTCAAGGCCATTGAAGGCTATTGATTGGCACTTTTCTCTGCCTGATATTTTCTTTGAAGTGGACTGAAAATCTATATTCCTTCTCTTCACAGATATGAAGATGAAATTAACCAACGCACCGCTGCTGAAAATGACTTTGTTGGTATCAAAAAGGTGACTACCCTAAAACAAAAGAATTAAGAAAAAAAAATAATATGTGGGAGATTTTTATACACAGAGAAAAGACTTTTGTTCAAAGTCTTATAAATTTCTTAATTAGGCTGAGAAATTTACAGCATTTCAGCCATTGCTGGACACAACTCCTATAATTTCTCATTCTTCACTTTGGTTGATGGTCATCAGAGCCCATTAATACCTGCAAATCCATTCACTTGTTAAAGCAAGAAACTGGAACAAGATTATAAAAAAAAATATGGCCTTTTCATTGGAAGGCTCACATTTAGTATTAAATGTAAACTGATTACTGATAGAGTTGCAACTTAAAATTATGGTCTGCATTTTACATCACTGTAAGGAAATGTTTATTCTTTATCTATTGATGTGTGATATTAAACTTGCATTAATTTATTAGGCAGTGAGCTTGTAGTGGCACATTCAGAGTAAGATGTTGAATTAAAAGGGACAATTCTAAATAGAAATGTGCATCGTACAGAACCTTGCAGCAATGTCGAATTGGATTGGACAGTTTGTAGTCTTCCATATACAGTATGTTCAGCTACAATTCTTGTCTTGTTTACCATTAGTTGTGTTGGCTACAGCTGCTGGAGATTGTAATTCAGCCACTTTTGAAGGACCTCAATTTCTCCATCCCTTTTATGTGGTGTAAAACATTTAGAGGACTCCTGTTCCCCGACATTTTTCTTTGTTGTAAAAAGGCATAAGTTTAATGCCCAGTTTATTAATTAAAAACAAAACTTTTATGTGACACTCTGAAGAAATGCTGTCCATTGGAGTACACTCTATGGGCTAAATAAATTGAATATCTAAAGTGGTATGAAGCAGCTGTCTAGGAATCCTTGGACTGCTTTTATGTAATTTTGGTATGTGTTGCATTCTTGCAGGATGTTGATGTTTCATTCATGCAAAAAATAGACCTGCAAGCAAAGACTGATAGGCTGACAGATGAGATCAACTTCCTGAGGACCCTCTTTGAGGCTGTAAGTGTTGAATGTTCTTGTCATTGAATCCAAAGTAATGAAAAGTCCTTCAGGGCCAGAAATCACATTGCATTTGAGGAAGAATTGGAATGATCTTGTCAGGAAAGTAGAACAAATATGATTCATTGACAATCCTATGAATTACTATATTCTATTTCAAAGATCTCCTGGGGACTTAGATCAAAACCTTGGAGCTCTTTTATGGGACAGGGAGGCTAGTATCCACAATATGGATTTGGGAGTGTCCTGATTGGATTCACACATCAGGCTAAGATGTGATTTTGCTAGCCCAGATTTGTTGATTAAATCACAATTGGCTGAGACAACATTTTGCATTAACATGTAATGCTGTTTCTTTAATGCTGGCATGATGTAATGTGCAAACCTAATTGCAGTACTGATACCAGTGGTGGTATTCTACCAGGTTAACCGGTAGTAAAAAATGTAACTGTTTGGCTGAACCGGTAGTAAAAAAATAACTACCAGTTCTACTGAACCGGTATTTCTTCCCCCGCCTCCTGACAACGAGCTGTTCCGATGATCAGATGTGCCAGGATCCCCCTCACTTTCTTACTGCTTCACCCAGGAGGCTTCCCTGAGGCCCAGGAGGCAAAAAAAAAGGGAATGCAGGTGGGGTGCTGTGTGCCCCCCCACCCACGCTCCATTTCTGGCCTCCTGGGCCTCAGGGAAGCCTCCTTGGAGAAAAAACTGCCTCCCAGGAGGCTTCCCTGAGTCCCAGGAGGCAAACAAAATGGAGCGCGCGGGGTGTGTGTGCCAAAAAAAGGAAGCCACGCCCACCCAGTCACATGGCCATGCCCCCCAGCTATGCTCACCTAGCCACACCCACAGAACTGGTAGTAAAAATATTTGCATCCCACCCCTGACTGCTACATATAGTTTCTTTTCATAGGTTTAAAGAAATGTTGATTGACACACAATGTAGAGCAGGGGTGTCAGACTCGTGCCGTCACATTGTCGTCACGTGAAGTATTAGTACTTTTCCCCCTTTGCTAACCTGGCTATGGGCATGGCCAGTGCTTAATGCATCTGGTCCGCGAGCCAGGAGTTTGACAGCCGTGGTGTAGAGGCAGCATTGAACTACAAAGGAGAAAGAGGAAGTCAGTCAGGTCCACTAATCAATTATGTCTTCTTGAAACAGTAAACAATTTGATATATACGAGGCCTACCACTATTAAAAACAGTGATGGAGAAAGTGCTATCTATAAAAAAGTGTACTTTTTAATTGAGGTTCTGAATCAGAATGTTTTTAATAATGGGTTCCCAGACATAAGAATGATATAATCTGATTAGTTAGCTTGAATGGTTTTACTACGTTCTCTTTCCTCATCCTTAGGTTAAAAAATCCATATTATTATGCTGACAGCCATATTCTCTTCTATTGTGAAAGCTTGGGAAATATCTAAAAAGTTTGCTCAAGTTTCTTTAACTTAAGCTTTGTTTGAATGAAAAACTGAAAAATAAAATAAAAATTAAACTAGACTACAGCTAAACGGTGGTATGAAAATTTCTGATAATGGGACTCCATATTGAATAGAAAACTAAAACAGGGGTTTCTAGAACCTAGACTTCTGGATTATGGCACAAATCTTAATCTCATTCTTACCTGGACACTGACTAAAATTAGCCGCTTCTCCTTTTCATTGTGAGAAGCCTGCAGCCTCTGGTCTTTTTCAGTGCAAGAATCTTGCAGCCGCTGGTCTTTTTTAATGTGAGAAGTCTTTGCCGGCGCAAAGGGCCTGCAGCCGCCGCCACTTTACTAGCTGGAATTGAGATAGCAGCAGTGGATGGAGGCTTCTCACGCCAGCAAAGACTGGCAGCTACAGGCTTCTCGTGCTGGCAAAGAGGTGGCAGCTGAAGGATTCTCATGCCGGCAAAGAGCTGGCGGCTGCAGGGTTCTCAGTGTGTGGGGGACATGGCGAGGCTCGACTGCCTTTTGGGCCCTGCTCTGGCCTGCTGCCTGTTTGACCTATGCTCTGCCTCGGGTCCCACATCCAGCCTACAATAAGGGGATATTCTGCTTCCAGGCCAACCTGGCAGGTGGATGGGAGAGCAGGCGGTCCTCGGGAGAGGCATCTTCTCTCAGGCCTCACACCTGGAAGCCTCCCCCCAAAAGATGAAGCTGGGTCCAAAATGGGACCGAGCCTCTCTGTGTGTTTCGCCCCCACCAAGGTGGTCCTTGGTTGAGTGCAGCAAACCTGGAGCAGATCTTCCTTCCCTGCCATCAGCTTTACTTTCTAGTCCATGGGGTTTGCACTGTTCTTACAGCGGAGGCCCAACATGGAGGCAGAGGCACCGGGAAGGCCAGAGCCAGGGATTGGCATGTTCCTCAACCCAAGGTGAAGGGCAAGTGGGTGGCATGTGGGTGGAGGCCCCAGGGAAGGCCAGAGCCAGGGACTGTCACATTCCCTGACCTGAGGTGAAAGGTGAGTGGGCAGCATGCGAGCGGTGGCCCTGGGAAAGGAGCCAGGGACTTGCACATCCCACGACCTAAGGCAAAGGGCAAGTGGGCAGCATTAGCCAGTCCTGAAAGGTGGCCAAGACTCGGTTTGTCCACCCCAAGGTGACCCTTCATCCGAGAGCCTTAACTTTGTGGGTAGCAGCTGTGAGCAGAATGGGTGAGGCGCGGAGATCAACTGGGCCATGTGGTCTGGGTGAGTGAGCAAAGGAGCCAGAGAGTCGTTGGGCATGGGCGTAACTCTAGCCACTGGCCAAGGCAGGCGAGGTGAGATAGGGTGTGGCGGGGAGGGCCAATGGTGGGATCTGCTGGTTCACCAAACTGCAGAATCTTAACAATCGGTCTGCTTGAACCGGTGTGAACTGGCTGCAGCCCACCTCTGCACCTAACTCTTAGGCTGAAATGCTGTTTTTTAAATAGGGCTAGAAAAACCTCCATCTAGAGTCTCAGGGAGATACTGTAGTCTGTGATGACAACACTAACTAGACAGCCTACTGACAATTTCCTGCTTTGCCAAAATGCGGCACAACCTTTATTTTGAGTTGGCTTCCACAGAATATTTTTGTATGATTCAATTGCTAAGATGAACTTGAATTAGTGAGTAACAATCTGTAAACATCTGGATGGATGGATAATAGCATCTTGTTCTTCCAAAAAGGAACTGATTCAAATCCGAGGACAAATTAGTGACACCAACGTTGTTTTGCAAATGGACAACAACCGAGATCTGGACCTCAGAAGTATCATTGCTGAAGTGAAAGCACAGTATGAAGACATTGCCAACAGGAGCCGGGCTGAGGCAGAAGCATGGTATCAAGGCAAGGTAAGACTCTGTGTACCTTTTCCAGCAATGATTGTGCAGTTAAGATCATCTTATCCTCTTAATCTGGAATCAATGCTCTTCTTAACGAGAAGGAAAGTCTGAAGTGAGAGGGTTGAGTCAGGCCATGGGTTTACACTTCCAATCGGCTTTTTTTTTTTTCAGAAATCCTTTAAGTGAATTGAATCTGATGTAGAACATTTGTCTTATATCGTAGGTTCCTTTATAATGAGGTCGTAACAAGCATTACTTTTGGGACTGCTAGGAAGAACAGAAAAACCCTACACATTATTATAAGAGAAGCCCTGGGGGAGCTTTGCAATTTATCATGAGAAATAATGCAACTACAACTTCTGTACCTACCATTTTAACCACAAAGTTCTAGTGCCTACTGAGCTTTGCTAAAAGACAAAGTGTGATGCCATTGTCTCAGTACATAATATTGGAAAGGGTTTTATTTTTTTATTTTTTTGCCTCTTCCTACAAGGCAAATATTTAGATTCCACTTTTTGTTTTGAAATCACATTTAGGTTTAGATGTGGCAAATTCGGCAAATCTTTCATCAGCCTTTTCTAGGGAAAGGTGACACACAGAACTCACCTCATATCCAAGGCCTCTTGTCTAATTTGTGAAGCTGGTATTGCTTCCCATCAGTCATTAGGATTCTCTTTTGATGTTATAGTTTCAGGAACTTCAGAACACAGCTGTTGGTCATGGGGATGACCTCAAAGATATGAAGAATCAGATTGCGGAACTGACTCGGCATATTCAGAGACTAAAAGCAGAAATTGACAATATGAAGAAAGTGGTAAGCGGCCATTTGAATATAGCAATACTCTTGTGAGCATGGGTTTTTCTGTTCTCTTTTTTTCATCTTTGTTACAGGTCTATCTGCTCTTAGTTTGCACCTTATTTTGCAGTTCATTCATGTATGTATGCTAGGAGCATTTTTCATCGAATTTCAACAGGATTTATTTCTGAGGAAAAGTGGTCAAGCATATCAATACAAGTTGGATAGCTCTTTGATTAAATGATCCCTGCCACCATTTTCAGGAGATCGTTCCCCTGCCCTGACTGTTTATAACTCAGGCCTACACAACGTGCAGAGCAGAGGTGGTATTGAGTAGGTTCTGACTAGTTCTGGAGAACCAATAGCAGAAATTTTGAGTAGTTCGGAGAACTGGCAAATGCTATCTCTTACTGGAGATTTTACAGTATCCTTCCCCTGCCATGCCCACCAAGCCACGCCCACAGAAACGGTAGTGAAAAAAATTGCATCCCACCACTGATGCAGAGATGTATTCTAAGTTGCTATTTCTTCCTCTACAGTAGAAGTGGAGCAGAAATATTGAAAGAACGGTTATGTGGAGGTGTTCTTTGATTCTCAGGACTATTCGTCAGTCATGCATTACCATCTTTGACTGTGTGCCAGCTGCTGTTCTGCTTGGATAAAAATAGCTTCACTTCATTAATCTAAATTCTAGTAACCTCACATTTAAATTGTTGCATACTTTTGAATATGAATTTGCTCCCAAAATTGCTCTGTAATACAAAACATGGCAGCTTGAATAATATCTGAAACTCGGTGACCCTATTATGTCAATATTAGCTTCTATTTTATAGGTGAAACACAAAATTTATTTACAAAATGCATAGAAATGGACTCACTAGCTCCAGAAAGGCTTTGATTAGAATAAAACACTGCTCAAAGTTCAACAGTAATAGGACTAGCACGTAGACATGCTTTATAACACTTTACAGCACTCTCTAAGCAGTTTACAGAGTCAGCGTATTGCCTGTCCCCCAACAATTTGGGTCCTCATTTTACCAACTTTGGAAGGATGGAAGGATGAGTCAACCTTGAGCTGGTCAGGATCAGACTGTTGGCAATCAGCAGAGTTAGCCTGCAATACGCATTCTAACCACTGCACTACCATATATTATATGACTTATAATAACTACATGATTCCTTGTTTCAGAGAGCTTCAGTCTCTCATTTGCAGGAAGATGCAATATTTGATAATTTCCAGGTTTACTTTTTGTTGGCTATGCCAATAAAAGCTCAAACTCACAAACTCCCTGCACCTGTTTTTCTGAATGCATGAAAAATTCAAGATGCAGGATATGTTTTCATTATGATGCTGTATGCATTTCCTCAAGATTTTTAGGGGCAAAAAGTATTTAGGAGCCTCTGTGGTACAGTGGTTAGATTGCAATACTGCAAGCTACATCTGCTGCAGCCAGCTGCCTACAATTTGGCAGTTCAAATCTCACCAAGCTCAAGGTTGACTCAGCCTTCCCTCCTTCCGAAGTGGGTAAAATGAGGACCCAGATTGTTGGGGGCAATATGCTGACTCTGTAAACCGCTTAGAGAAGGCTGTAAAGCACTATAAAGCGGTATATAAGTCTAAGTGCTATTGCTTATTTGCCAATAATTGGAATCAAGCCCTAGGCCAAGATGATGCACACAAGGAAAAGAGGACCATGAAAGGCTTCCTTGGCACATCAAACCAGAGTAAACATTTTGATTATCTAAGCACATGTTCATGTTATTAACATAAATAATTCTTGCCCTGTTAAGTGTCATAGTTGGAGATTGTCTAGGAACAGAAAGTGGCACTCACTCTGAACTGGTTTGCTGAAGAATAAATTTGTTGATGGAGATAGATAGTGAAGGAGAGAGAGTACAGGTAGATCTCAACTTACAACAGTTCATTTAGTGACCATTCAAAGTTATAATGGCCCTAAAAAAAGTGACTTATGACCGTTTTTCACACTTATGACCTTTGTAACATCCCCATGATAATGTGATCAAAATTCAGATGCTTGGCAATTGGTTCATACTTACCACCATTGCTGTGTCCCAAGGACATGTTGCTACCAAAGTCAATGGGAAACCAGAGTCACTTAACAACCATGTTACCGTGTTATCAGCTGTCATGATTCACTTAACAACTATAGCAAGAAAGGATGTAAAATAGGGAAAACTCACTTAACAAATGTCTGATTTAACAACATAAATTTAGGCACAATTGTGGTCATAAGTCAAGGACTGTTGGTATTACAATCCCTTGAGTTACATATTTTGTTGAAATTCATTTTGCTGAAATTGAATTTGCCCAGTGGCCTTTCAACGAGATTTAGAACTTGTCCACTGAAAGATGCATGAGTCCTGTTGAATCTGTTTACCCCATCAATTTAATAAGACATTATTTATCAACATCCTTGTTGAAGTGGCCATCTGATTTTTTTGAGTCTCTTGGGTCCAAATAAAAGCCAGTGTACAATAATGCGATCCTGTTTACAATCCTCTTGTAAACACTTAGCGCTCTGCTGTTATAACAGAAATGAGAGAAAAAGTGCTGACTCTTACCAATGGATTCTTAAGACATCTATATTTAATACTTCAGAGGGGACACGGTGGCTCAATGGCTAAGACACTGAGCTTGTTGATCAGAAAGGTTGGCAGTTCGGCGGTTCGAATCCCTAGCACCGTGTAATGGAGTGAGCTCCCATTACTTGTCCCAGCTTCTGCCAACCTAGCAATTCGAAAGCATGTAAAAATGCAAGTAGAAAAATAGGGACCACTTTGATGGGAAGGTAACATGCACCTTCGGCATTTAGTCATGCCGGCCACATGACCACGGGGTCTTCTTCAGACAGTGCTGGCTCTTTGGCTTTGTAACAGAGATGAGCACTGCCAGAAACAACTAGCATGTATGTGGGAGGGGAACCTTTACCTTTACTTATTTAATACTTCATGAAGTCACGCATGCTATGACACACACGTATCATGAAATTAGAACCTAATTAATATACAAATGTATCCAGAATGAAGGTCTTCAAAAAGCAATTGCTGATGCTGAACAGCGTGGGGAGTTGGCCCTGAAAGATGCCCGCGTGAAATTGAGCGACCTGCAACTGGCTCTGCAAAATTCGAAGGATGAGCTGGCACGTCTCCTGCGTGATTATCAGGAGCTGTTGAATACCAAGCTGTCTCTGGATATTGAGATTGCTACATACCGCACGCTGCTAGAAGGCGAAGAATGCAGGTGGGTGCACTCTTGCAATGTATTGTGTTTCTGAGTGAAACAAATCTATTTGCATGTTGTTTGTGTGTCAATTTTACCCAATCTTAAACATAGGAATATACCAACAGATACCTGTCATCATGGCTGTTCTGCTTTTTCTATAACTGCTTTTTCTGTGTGTATGAAATACAGCCTGTGCACCCACTATCTTCCCCATTAAAATTTGTTTGTTTGTCTGTCATTCTTTTTCCGCGTGTAACAAAGGTCTTATCCTAGGTTTGAAGCCTGTATGTTTTTCTATTGATTCTCTTTTCAGAGCTCTGCAGGCTTTTTCCATCGATTTTTTTCTTAGGAAATTCCTGGAATTTCCAATCAGAGACAAATAAGTACCTTTTGTGGATGCCGAATTATAGAAAATTGCATGTAGTTCATCCTTCTTAAAAGGCTGTCTTTCCTCAACCATCCTGTCCCTGGGTCTGATCCTTAGTTTATTCAGTTTTGACCAGTTTCTTCTTCTTCTTCCTCTTTCTCTCTCTTTCAGTTTCCTTTTGCCTAGCACAATTCATAGGATAAAGCATAGGATAAAGTTCCAAAGGGCTCCAAGGAGAGGACATTATATAGAGGACATTTCTCCCAAATTCAGCAATAGCAAAAAAATTTCATGGGAAACCACAAGAGACCTATCAATGAAAAGTGATATCAAATGTTTTGTAGCTAAAATGAGTTTTCTCTTTCTGCCCCTAAATATGTTGCCTCCCTAAACATTATGTCTAGCTTTATCCCCAAATCTAGAGTATATGTTATGGTATATTTAGCCAATAAATAAAAATGATTCTCAAGCTGTCAGTAGGAAGTTTAGAATGCGGCAGGTGTGTGTGTGTGTGTGTGTTCATGCAAATATTAACTTTTTTTATGGCACATTTCCAACAATGTTGAAATGTCTGAAGGTTCAATGTCATATTTAGGAAGCACTACATGCTGTTCAATATCATCAGTATAGCGGAAGACATTTCCACACATCCATAATTTGCATTAACATTAACATTAACCAGGGATGCTTCTAGCATGGGGTAGGCTTTTAAGAATATAAATAAATAATATATGCTTGTGTAATTACAAGTAAATAACTAAAATTATGTTTCCTATACAATCTGGAATTAATTACAGTCATTATGTCTATTATAATATTGCTTAGTCATTATTCATAGTAAGTTTTGGTTGCTGACTTGGAGAGAGACACATAAAATTATCCTTCAACCCTGATATTTTAATTAGTGGTGAAAATTCAGAAGAGAAAATACAGCGCAGATATAGAAGCAGTCTTTTCTCAAGTATGTTCCTCAAGAAATATCAAACAAAGTAAGGCTTGCATTCCACATAAAATATGTGCTGGGAATTAAATCTGGTTCTCTCTCTGCAATATCTCTACATTCTAAGATTTCACCACTTTGCAATCCAAATGTGTGTACATTTACCCCTAAAGTAATTTCCCTTATGTTTGAAATATTTTCTTCTAAGTTAGCTACCTTGGTTCATAACATCACTTAGTTTCCTACCATCTGATGTCCTTCAGATGGATTGTACATATTTTAATTTCCTAGGGCTACTATGGATTGGTCTAAATCAGATTGGGAAAAGCTGTCCTAAACTGCCAAATCAAGAGTTGTGTTGTCTTTAATCCAGTGATTATGGAGGATGAGATGACAGCTGCTCTGTTCTTCTTTAGAAGATCATCTATGGCTTTACCAATCTCTTTCCCAGCCCACTCTAATCAATGAGCTTTTATTGAAAGGGGAAGTAGAAGATAGCTAGAAATGATGGAGGGTGTCTACATAATTTGTAGAGTTTGCAATATATGCCCAAGATAACTGGGTAAGGCTCGAAGCCCATTCTGTTTAAAACCAAGAAAAGATCTCTCATCCTTTCAAAAAAAAGATAGCAGCTGCATCACCACAATACAAAAAAGATGTTAGAGGAGTGCAGAGAAGAGGAAGAAAGATGAGTAAGGGTCTGGAGGCTAAATCATATGATAAATGATTGTAGGAACTAGTCTAACGAAGAGGACTGGGGTGTCATGATAGCAGTTTTTCAATATTTGAAAGATTGTCACAAAGAAGATGGCGACAACCTATTTTCCAAAGCACCTGAGGGCAATATAAGAATGGAATTGATGGAAACTTATCAAAGAGAAATTGAACCTAGAACTAAGGAGAATTTTCCTGACAGTGAGAAAAATCAGTGGAATTACTTGCCTTCGGAAGTTGTGGGTGCTTCAACCCTGAAAGTTTTTAAGAAGAGATTGGACAGCCATTTGTCTGGAATGGTTTTGGATCTTGTGCTCAAGAAGGGAGGGGTCCATATCACTTCTAACTTAATCCATATGCATTCCCTGTTGGGACCATGAGGCAGGACAATGGGAAAAAAGATAGAATTTAAAGTCCTCGACTTTTCTGAAAGGACATTAGCTCCTATTAACCTTATGAGGAAAACCTGTTTTTAAATATGAAGAGCCCCTAGTTTTCATTTTGTCCTCCACTACTTAACCCATGCTTTGAAGCAAGAGATGAACTAATAGCAGAAGGACTTGCTAGCAGGCAACTGGGCAAAGTGACCTCTTGTGGTCACTTCATTTGTGGACGTGCTTTGGGAGCTTAATTGGCTTTGTGCTGCCACCAATGTCAGAGCCGAAAGGCTATGTTGTTCATTTTCCTCATCCCTCTGAGATAGTGTGGATCCATGGCATTCTGGGAATTTCAACGGTGGGCTGGATTTTGGTACTTGATATCAGTTGCAGCAGTACCTTGAATTTTGTTGAACAAGAAAATCTAGTGTAGACATTAATTATAAGACCACTCCTAGAATTCTGTCAGCTACTGAAGGAGAGGTGGCCAAACCGCATTTTACTTTTCCATATCCCTAAGATATAGCTGCAGTTAGTTCTGGAAACCATAAATCAACTCTGGTGCCCACAAGAATGGAGATCAGGCCTCATTGTGTTCAACGCCATAGTTGCCCGTCACAGACGAAATAATGGAGCATGGCGATCAGATAGAGGAAGGAGCAAGGAGTACTTTTAGATATTAAAAATAATGGTGTACCTTCACTAAAAGTCCAGGATCTAAAATTGTTGAGTTATGAACCAGGAAAAAAAAATAGTAGGAAATGCATCTGTCTGAAGAACATCTATTGTTTCTGACTTATGTGTGTTGGTGCAGTTTGTTTGTGAGCCTTCTTCCAGGCCACTGTCTGATTTAGCACATTGGAAAAACCTTGTGCTGTAGTAACCCTTGAACTGAATGTATTTTATTCTTGGGGTGAAATAATTGCCAGTAGTTATACAGATGTAAAAAAAAGGGATAATCTATATATACCCAGAGGCACACCAACAATTTTAGCAACATTCGTTCAGGTACTTTACTCTGGTTAACTTCTGACCCTGAAGAACAGCAAATGCTATGCTGGTCTCCTGTTGTCATCTGGATAAGCCTGAAAGGCAATAAGGGTCAGGATTGTCTTCCCTCACAATGTTTTTGTACAAAGCAGATGAGCACTCTGGCCTCAGGAGGGTGCTCTTAAGGCAGTTCCATCAAGGGAGAGCATCTTGTTCCTGAGAGCAAGATGCTAACTGGGTACAGAATATAAATTTTGCATCCCATGAGAAGATGGTAGAGACGTTGCACCACCTGTGTGGCAATGCAGCCGCAAAATCCTTTCTTGTGGGTTGAGCCACAAAACGGGCACGGCCATTTTGCGGCCGGTTGCTTTCTCAGGGCTGAAGTGTAAGTTCTGCCAGCAAGAGAGGGGCAGACTCCTCTTCCCCCCTTTTCCACTTAAGTCTGCAGTAGACAGGGAGCTATAGGAATTTGTTCTGCTCAGACTGGAGGGCAGGATCCCCTGAGGGAGGGGCGAACCACTGTAAGCCAGCTAAAAAGACTACTGTGAAACCTGTTTCAGTCTCCTCCCAAATCCTAATCCCTTCGTGTGACCCCCTCCAAGCTCAGGGGTGTGCTTCAGATGGTGCATAAGTGTTATGCACCTGCCTTGCAAAATCCCTTAAAGGGGGATGTAGATTGTTTCATTCTCACAAGTTTCCCTAGGAATTCCCCACCATCATTTTAATTTGTTTAATAAAATTGCTGCCTTTTCTATCAGGAAGGAAAGGCAGAGAAACTGTAAGCATCCTTTGGCTGGCAGGGATAGGAGCCAATTATACCAAAGAGCCCCAACCCATCAAGGCTATTTTCTTTTTCTTTTTTTCCATTCAGTCTGAAACCAGTGCCTTTTTTTACGGCAACTTCTCAGAAATAGATTCTTAACTTAAAGGATTTCTCTCTAGTTGCAGAGCACCCAATCCTGGGCGTTCTTTTGAACTCACCTATCTGTAGTGGCATATGCAAAATCTCTGTTTTATGATTTTCGTAAGAAAAGTATAACTCTACAGCTTTGTTCATGGTGGCATTAATCCATAGGGTGATTAGTTTGAACTGGTGTGATGTGGATTCTTCTTTTCAGTAGTCCAGTTAAGCTTTAAATGGCTTAGTTATGAGTAAGAACTCTGTCTGTTGAATAATAAACAAATGAGAGGGGTCAATCAAATCAAATCTTTATTATAGACAAAGACTGACAAAAATGGAAAGGTGTGGTTGAATAATAGCTAAAAAGCTAACAGGAGTCAGTCCATGAAGTAAATATGTCAACTTCAGGGAGTCTCCAGAAGTAGCAAGCTATTTAAGGCAGTTTTGGTATATAGTCCAAAAGCAAGAAAGAATAAATGCAGCAAACATCGTGCCTCAGTGAACTTAACTTCCACAGGAATTTATCAAATACATCAATAACCCACTCCCCAAATTCCTATCTAGACAATGCAAGGAAAGAAGTGTGTGTGTGTGTGTGTGTGTGTGTTGGGAGGGCAGGAGGGAGACAAAGCACGTTTTCCTTTATTTTGTCACCCATCTGATGGAGAATTTACAGTGACAGGTGGTTCCTAATTGTCAGTTGATACTTTCCCCAGACCTTTATTTGCAAGGACAGGGCCTTATAGGCTATGAGCTACACATGATAAAGATAAATTGACTTATATACACACTGTTTCTTCTTTCTTGCCTATAGGATATCTGGAGAACTCACTGCCCCTGTCAGCATGTGTAAGTATTTCATTTATGCTAATTAGCCATGAAGGCTCATGATAATACATTTGTTTGCACAGACTTTATTGTTTAATACTAATACTGAATATAATTTAGAAATCTCAAAAAATACTCTCTATCACTGACAAGAGGATCAAATAAGAAATACTCTATACTCTGTGTGAGGTGGGGAGGGGGTGCCTATCCTATTTTATACTATTGATGAAAATAATAACTTAGATTAAAAGTGAGACATGAGGCTTTAAGAAAACATAAATAAAATGGATTAAGTTGTGATCCATTCAAAATGAAACAAAAACTATATATTTGCTAAATAGAAGAAGGAATTAGAAGGTGTTAGCCTTATGAGGTAGATCTGCAACTGCATATGAGAAAGACCTTGGGAGAAGAGTAACTAAGATGATTAAGGGCCTGAAGACTAAAACATATGAAGAAGGGTTGCAGGAACTGGGTATGGCTAGTCTAGAGGAAAGAAGGACTAGGGGTGATATGATAGTAGTATTCCAGTATTTGAGGGGCTGCCACAAAGAAGAGGGGGTCAATTTATTTTCCCAAGCACCAGAAGGCAAGGCAAAAAACAATGGATGAAACCAATCAAGGAGAGAAGCAATCTGGAATTAAAAGAGAAACTTCCTAACAGTGAAGACAATTAAGCTTGCCTTCAGAAATTGTTGGTGCTTCATCACTGGAAGTTTCTAAGAAGAGACTGGACACCCACCTGTCTGAAATGATATAGGGTCTTCTGCTTCTCATAAGCCACTTTCCTTGCTTGGGCTAAAATCTTGCTTATCTGATCATTGTCTTGGTAGTAGATCTTCCATTTCTTCTCCAAGGCCATCCTCTATGAGCACTACAAGAGATACCCCTTGATATTTAGTTTTGAATAGAGCCCGACACTAGATGAGAAATTCGAGTGAGCGATTCGGCAGCAATGCTACTCATGTTGCCTTCAATAGGTGGCAGCACCTGAAACCTTAAAAAGCTTAAGCAGGATCGTACCTCGTTAGAATTTGGATGGGAGTTTGTTTGATAATTTCAGGGTGGGGGACTATAGTGGAGAAATTAGCATCTCGGAATAGGAGAATGACTCAGACATGCCCTTGTTGTCCCCAAGACTTGTGTATGATGGTCATCTATTCCTTCCTATGGGCTACAAGTCAATAGTTGGAACAAAGTCCAGTAACGCCCCTGTGTTTTTCTTGCAGCGGTGATCAGCAGCTCATCTACCATGAGTGGAGGCAGTCGTGGAGGATTTGGCCTGGGGGTTGGGGGAGGAGGGGGAGGCAGTGGTGCCGGAGGCAGCCTGGGCCTGACAGTGGGAGGAGTTGGTGCTGGCGGCTATGGTATAAGCACTGGAGGGAGCAGTTATAGCACTGGAAGCTATGGTGGGGGAATAGGGGTTGGAGGTGGAGGAGGCTCTTCCAGCATGAAATATGTCTCAACCACAACCTCATCGTCCAGCCGAAAAATGGTCAGATAAAAAATAAATAACATGTTGACAATTGATTCTGAAAAAAAAAAATGCTCCTAATCGCCAGCATCAGCACAAGTCCCCAAGCTAGTCATCCTTCTTCTTTTTACCCCCTGAGAAGTTTAATATGAACAGGCATTGTCCCTTGTCTCCTGAATGGACACCTCTGAGCAGGTGTTGGCCATTCATGAGAAATGGCTCATATCACCCCCTTCGCCAGGCAGTGTTGATGTTACAAGTCTCTTTCCCAACCAACGTGACTTGTGGCTGTCGAGGCGTCTCTGATTTTTCCTCTCTCTGTTATTGCAATTCTGCCTTCAGTAAAGAAGTACCACATTTCGTACAGGCTGAATGAATTAAAACACCCCTCCCACGTTGGACAAAATTGATGATTTCCTCCCCTACTTTCTTTCAAAAGGATGACAATGCCCTTCTGTGATAGGAATTCAGACAAGTTAACAGAGTTGGAAAGGACCTTGTAGGTCATCTAGTCCAGCTCCCCTCCTCCACCACCTCATGAATTGGCAAGCAAGTTTTAAATCAGCAAATCTGGAATTTGGTGAAGGCTGATTTTAGTCAAAAGCAAACAAACCAAAAAGCCAAGCCCAAGCCTTCTGACTAAGGACCCCTCTTCCCTGCCTCAAATACTATTCTTATGGTGCAAAACTTTAGGAATAAAATCTGACCACATAAGACATTTTTTTAAAAACACCCCGATGATTTCAGTGGGAGATTGAGTACTAGGTTCACTCTCCATATTTGAAATCAACAGGATGGGGAAAATGCTTACCTTTTGTTTCGGTTGTTTTTAAGCACTCAAAAAAACCCCACTGAATTGTTTCCAGTATTGACATTCATTTTATGGTCATAATTTCACGTCCATTTTCATATTTCTGCAATTTCTTATGCTGCTCTTTTTGTTGAGTGCTTTGCACCAGTAGATGAATGTGATATAATTATATCTTCTTAAATCCCATTGAAAGCAGGAGGAAAGTGTAACCCAAACTGGTCTGTATCATCAGGGCCTGTATTTTTCTCACTGAAGCCCCATTGCTCTGTTTGGCGCATGTCGCTCAGCATTTAAAAATGTGGTAGCCTTCTGCTGAGATGGCATTTGAGAATGGAAAGGGCAATTTAATGGATGGGCTAATTGAAGCAATATGTAGAAGTTGCCAACAGAAAACAAAGAACTCCTGTGTTTTAATTCAGTTGTAATAGTAGGCAGGCCTCTTCCAACACCCTGAGGAATATACACAGTCAAAACAACACATTGTTTAATTGGGAATTAGAAGACAAGTGCTTAGGTCAGCCATCTTTTGAAACGATGCCTTTTATTGTTCTGTGCTTAGAAGAAGCATAGCATTTGACTTTATCAACCGTAGAAAAATATTTTTAGTATTCTTTTGGTTGCCTTCCCCTTCTCCCTGCTGCAAGTTGATTTTTTTTTAAAAAAACTGTTAAATAAATTTCCCAATTGATGAAGAACATTTTAAAAATGCATAATAGTTTGTATGGCTTATTTTGTAAGTGTCCCCAAATGCTTGTTGTAAATAAACTAGCAACTGTTCGGCTTCTTTTGCTCGGTCTATTGTTCTCCATAACTTCATGCTTGAAATTGCAAATAAACTGCATTGTGATAACTTGTTTCTTGCTGGTGTCTTCTTTCTTTTTTACCCATGGGTGTTCATTAGGGCTAAAATGTTTTTTTTTTCCTCAATGAAGAACTCAAACATGGAGGACCTATAGCTGAAAAGAGAAATAGGAGACTAGGAATATTTGGTTTACAACATTTTTCCCCCCTTACAAAATGGTTTCAACTGATCGACTCATTTGTGGCTCATCTTGTTTACCTCTGGTGTCTCACTGATGGGCAATACTACAAGTATAAGAGAGATGTACCATTGTCAACCGGGACGAGGTACTGATTTCATACCAGAAAGTGCTTTTACTCAAATGACTGATCTCGCCTGAATAAAGCAACAGCCCAACTGCAAAAATAATTTTTTTTAAAAAAAATTGACATCGTGATTTTTCTCTCCCCACCCCCCCCCCATGGCATTCTCATAATTCAGGCTAAAATAGTAAACTTTTCTGATTTCAGAGATTAGGAACAAATCTGGCTCTTTTCCCAAATGGCCCAAGAGGACAAATCAGATCTAATCTGGGCTCAGAGGGATTTTCCAAATTCCCTTCCAAACTTGTCGGCGGGGACAAATGAATTTTCAGAATTTCTGCAGAGGAAATAAGAAATTGTCCCAGAGTTGCTCAAGCGAGGGTAACACAACACTCCAAGAAATATATGAGGATTTAATAGATCAAGGGAGCCAGAGCCCAGCATGATGACGGTGCAGTGAAAGGCTGGATATCAACATAGATCCCCTTCCTCACTTTGTAGTAATATAAGCAGAAGAGCACATAGGGAAGTTTTCTATTTTTTTCCCCTTAGGAAGACTTTCAAAAGCAAATTCTCTCATCACATTGAATGGGAGCTGGTAGGACAATCAGGAAAGTATCTCTTGGCACTGAACTCTTGGCACTGATGTTACAGTAGCATGAGAAAGAGCTTCTTGCTAAATGCTGATACAGCATGTTTTTCATCTCCCAAATTGCTGGGGAAGGGTTATTTCTAACCCCAATTGGGGGTGGGGTTGAGGGAAGAGGGGAATCCTAGGGAGAAATATCCAAAGAAGGAGGGGTCTGATGGAGGGAAGGAAAAGAGCTGAGTTCCTATGTTCCCTTGCTAAGCTTACAATCCACTGTAGCATTCAGACTCAAACCAGTTCCAACCTAAGGGATCTGCCCCTTCAACCTCATTGAGAAATACAAGAGCATGACACAGCAAGAACATGGAGGAAATATCTGCAGAGTTTAAATGACATCTAGGAAAGACTTCGTTGAAGAGATGTTTCCCTAATGAATACTACTCTTATGTTTTGGGAAGTGACAGTACTAGTGGTGCTAAGACCACGGTCTTACACAGAAGACTGCCTGGGAATTGCAAATTCTTCAGAAGGATTATGGTTTTGTTCTTGCAGCTGTTTTAAAACAAGGAACAAGGGATTTACAAGGGGGTAGCTAGGTCAGAATCCCCACAGACAGGATCAATTGTCTATATCAAGTTGAAGATGAAGGTGTGATTGTGGTTCAGGAGATTCAAGAAACCTTCTGTGTAGGGGCAAAGAGAATGCTTGACCTCCAAGTAGGCCTGTGTTCTTTAAAGTTTTTTTTTTTAAAACAAACAAACAAACCTGTAGCCATTGAAAATCAAGTAAGATGAGAAGCAGGAGGTTAACCCAAAAGACTTCTCTCTGAAGTGGGAGGATTGTCTTATATTCAAAGCAGATTTTGTTCAAAGTGAAAAAGATGAATGGGAGAATCGAGGTATCTAGATGTCAATGATTCCAGTGAGTGGCAGAAAAGAGATAACAATAGGGTAGGAAGGGCATTCAGGCCTCCCACTCCTCTTGAATAGTTTTCACCTCTCTTGATGGATTTCAGATGACCAAACAGGTCTGATAACCCCAAGCATATTCATTTGGAAAAGCCATTGGTCTCAATGGGATTTATGACATTGTAAGCATGCGTAGGTTTGAATTTCCTTACAACTCAGCACAAATGCCTCTGTCAAAGTTTTTGGGTTGCAAATGTAAGTGTGAATGTGTGTTTGTGTGTGTGTGTGTATGGGGGGAGGGAGCTCTTTCTCCAATGCCCTGTGAGTTTGAACCCTAGTCCTAACCTGTTTCCATCACCCCACTAAAGTCATCTATTTCAAGCCCAGCAGCAGCCTATGAATAAGATTTCAAAATTACCACAGCATTCCTATTGTAGATTTATACTTGCTGTGTAAGATCCAGATACCTACTGGGCTTTCTGTTCTCTTTCTCGGTTACTCTCTTTCCTTTCTTAACCCTATCTCACTTATTTCTCCTCTCACCACCACTTCAGCCTCCTACCTTCCCTTTTTTCTTCCTCAGTTTGGACCTGCCTTATTTTGAAATGTGGCCTCTAGCCAGTATGTGCACACATACTGTACATGTGCAAATGCACAAATATGTTCAATACAAAAGTATTGGAGGAGGAAGCATCTGTTTTGTTTAAAGCTGGCAATCATGGTTTGAAAATGGGCACCACATAGAGCTTTAGTATATGTTTAAATATATTTTTGTCCAATTCTAGTTACTTTTTTTGCCAAATGTCATCTTAAATTCAAGATTGTCTTCCTTTCAAATAAATATGATATGTGATACTCAATGCAATGACTGAACAAGTAAAGCTAAAGATGATTTGCAAAACAATAGCTAAGAATTATAGGTTCTTGAGGAAGAACTGAGAGATGAGTCAGTTTATTTTTACTTAGAATCTTCTTTTTTTGAATGACCTACCAATTAATTCATCATGTGAATTACATTTCCAATGTACCTAAAATTTGCATTTAAATCCAATTCAGACTATGAATTAGTTCAATCAGTCTACTGCTGATCCATGTTTGTTAGTATTAGTTAATTAAATTTCCCAATAGTCAATTCACTTGCATTTATTCAGCTCTAAATTTATTTCCTCCTATATCTGCAGCAGCTGCAAATTAAGAAATACAAAATAATGCATGCTAATTGACATGCAGTTTCCTTCGTATACAGATCAATGTGGGCTTATGCATTAGAAAATTTGGATTAAAAAGTTTCATTGAAAATTTAATCAGTTTCTTTAAAAATGCAGAACCAATAACATTCTTACATTTAAATATGTCTCTCTTAAAATACATATTCTAATATCTACCTAGGAATATATATTTTGATACCTTTTGGAGATAAGGGGTTTTATAGAACAGTAGCAACTGTGAGACAGCTCCAGCTGTCCTAGTAGACCAACCCACATAAATTTGAGCTTACAAGTGTGCTGCAACTACAAAAAAACAACAACACCCAAATCTAAAACAGTTCTAGGTTGCATCAATAGAGGGATAGCTTCGAGATCACGTGAAGTGATAGTACTGTTTTATATTGCCCTGGTGAGACCATACTTGGAATATTGCATCTAATTCTGGTCACCACTATACAAAAAAATAAAAATAAAAATAATAATGCTGAGACCTAGAAAGAGTGCAGAGAAAAGCAATGAAGATGATTTGGAGTCTGGAATTAAATCATGTGGTGTTCACTTCAGGGAACTAGGTTTGTCTAGCTTAATGAAGAGAAGGGTTAAGGATGATGTGATAGCAGTCATCCAGTACTTGTGGGGCTGTCACGGAGAGGAAGGGGACAAGCTATTTTTAAAACAACTGAGGGCAGAACAAGAAGCAATGGATGGAAGATCATGAAAGAGTGATCCAACCTAGAACTAAAGAGAAATTTTCTGACAGTGAGAACAATTAATCAGTGGGATGCATTGCCAATGGAAGTTGTGGGTGCTCCATCATTGGAAGTTTTCAAAGAGAGAGTGGACAGTCATTTGTCTGGGACGGTATAGGTTCTCCTGCCTTGGGCAGCGGGTTGGGCCAGAAGTCCAAGGTCTCTTCCAGCCCCATGATTCTATTCTATTCTATTCTCAGTTAGTTGACTAGACTAGCTAGTAGAACTCAAGGTCCCTTCCAACCCTATTATTCTATCTTCTCCGTT